AATAGATTTTGTATATTCTTAGTCAACTGCTTGATACTTTTAAACTTTTGCTGCTATCGTGAAATGATATTCTTTGGATTTTCATAGGCTGACCCTATTCTGGCAACTTTGCTGAATCTCTTAATAGTTCGAATAGTTTGTCAATCGTTGGATTTTCTAGGTATATATCATTTGCAAAGGACACTGTTTTTCCTCTTTGCTTCCAATCCTTACACATTATGCTTCTTTTTCTTTCCTTATAGTGTTAGCCAGAATCTGTAGTACTGTGACAGGCTTCCTCACTGAGTCTTGGTCTTAAAGGGAAAGTATTTAATCTAACATTTCTCCACTAAGATTAACATTTACTGTAGATTTTTGATATATAAACCTCAACCAAGTTAAAAAAATTATTCTATTGATAGCATGATGTTTATATTTTTCATAAATAGATGTGAAACCTTACCATGTTTTCCTTTATCAATTAAAATAATCGTGATTTTCTTCCTTTTTGTTCATTACTGTGATAGATTTTCTGATGTTGAGTCATCTTACTTGGTCATTTTTTTTTAAAATACACCATTGGAATTGGTTAGCTAATATTTTTAACTGTGAATATATATTCATAAACAAAATGGACTTAACTTTTTTCATTTTCATCTGGTTTCCCAATCAACATTACATTAGCCTTAAATTCCATTTTGTCAACAAAATTAAGAGTGCTACCCTGACTTTTGGGGTCATATTGGTCTGGCATATCTCTTTTTTTTTGTAACAGCTTTATTCAGATAAATTCTTATACTATACAATTCATCTATTTAAAGTGTACAATTCAATGGTTTTTAATATATTCAGTTGTGCAACCATAATCACAATCAATTTTAGAATATTTTCATCACCCCTAAAAAGAAATCCCATACCCTTTAGCTATCATCCACCAATCCTCTCATTTTCTCCCACCTCCTAGCCCTAGGTAACCACTAATATATGTTCTTTCTTTAAAGATTTGATTCTTCAGAACAATTAATGTAAATGGAATTATACAATATGTGATCTTTTGTGGCTATTTTTACTTAGCATGTTTTCAAGATTAATCCAAGTTGTAGCACGTATTAGTACTTTATTCCTTTTTATGGCTAAATAATACTTCATTGTATGGATATAACATATTTTACCCATTCATCTATTGATGGACATTTGGGTTGTTTCTACCTTTTGGCTATTATGAATAATACTGTTATGAACATTCATTTTTTGTGGACATATGTTTTCAATTGTCTTCAGCATACACCTAGGAGAGGAATTGCTGAGTCAAATGGCAACTGTTTAATTGTTTGAGGAACTGCCAGACCGCAGCTGTACTATCTTACATTCCCATCAGCAGTGTGTGAAGCTTTCAATTTTCCACATCCTCGCCAACACTTTTTTTGATTACAGCCATCCCAGTGGGTGTGAAGTAGTATCTCACTGTGGTTTTGATTTGCATTTCCTTAATGATTAGTGATGCTGAGCATCTTTTTTTTGTGTTTAGTGACCATTCGTATATCTTCTTTGGAGAAATGTCTCTTCAGATCCTTTGACAATTTAAAAAATTGGGTCGTCTTTTTATTATTGAGTGGTAAGTTTTTTTTTTATGTTTTGGATGCAAGTTGTTATCTGATATATTATTTACAAATATTTTCTCCCACTCTGTGGGTTGGTATACTTTTTCTCATCCTTTTATTTTTTAACCTATGTCTTTAAGTGAATTTTATTTACTTTTTTTTTTTAATTTTATTTATTTATTTTTCCCCCAAAGCCCCAGTGGATAGTTGTATGTCATAGCTGCACATCCTTCTAGTTGCTGTATGTGGGACACGGTCTCAGCATGGCTGGAGAAGCAGCGTGTCGGTGCGCGCCCGGGATCCAAACCCAGGCCACCAGCAGTGGAGCGCGAGCACTTAACCACTAAACCACAGGGCCGGCCCTGTTTATTTACTTTTGAAAGCTTTTAAATTATTTTCAATATGAGGGTCTCTTTTAATTGGTGATTTTAATCCACTTATACCATTTTCCACATGGTTGAATGCATTGGGTAACTTGTCAGTTCATTTTTCTCCCTGGGCATCTCCCTCCTGATAGCTCTCATCCTCTTGTTCCAATCTGGCCTTAATACTGTAGTCCTGCTGGAAAGCTGTTATCCTGCCACTTTGCTGGCTTGGTGCCCTGATTTCTGGTATCTCCTCTTCCTTGATTTACTCTCTTATATTTTGTGAAGTACATCCTCTAGTAGCCTTTTAAAAAGCTGCATAGAAAGTAAAGTTTGAAATCTTGTATGTCTGAAAATGTTTTTAACTTCACGCTTGAGGGCAGTTTGACTGGTCATAGAATTATAGGTTGAAAAAGCAATTATCTCCTGAAATCCAAATCTCTTTTATTTCCTGGGTTCAGCCAATGAGTTTAGTTAGCAATGGACACTGTGATAAATTTGGTTCCTGAGTTTCAGAGAGCAAGTAGGAAATGTTCACTTCAACAAGGGATGTCTCAAAAACTTTATTGTAATCTATTTGCTTCATGAGTTTGGAGACTATCGTAAATTCAGATAGCAGGAATTTGTCCTCAGGACTTTGAAGGCATTGATCCACCATTTTTTGTCATCCAGACTTGCTAATGAGGAGTCTAATGTAGATGTTATTCTTGTTCCTAAGTGTTTTTCCCTCCTCTTTGGAAACTTCTAATATTTTTTCTTTATTCTTGAAGTTCTAAAACTGCACAGTGCTATGCCTTGGTGTGGGTCTTTTTCATTCATTACACTTGACACTGTGTTGGGCCTTTCAAACTGAAGAGAAGTTCTGGGATAGCCTCTTATGATCTTTCATTTTAATAATCCCTCTCCTTGTGTTTAAAAATTTTTTTCAGGGGCTGGCCTGGTGGCACAAGCGGTCAAGTGCGCGCGCTCTGCTGCGGTGGCCCAGGGTTCGCCAGTTCAGATCCCAGGCGCACACTGACGCACCACTTGTCAAGTCATGCTGTGGCGGCATCCCATATAGAGGAAGATGGGCATGGATGTTAGCCCAGGGCCAGCCTTCCTCAAAAAAGGAGGATTGGCAGATGTTAGCTCAGGGACAATCTTCCTCACAAAAAAAAAAAAGTCACTTTGTAAAACTATTAGTCTGATATTAGACCCCTATATTTATCTTCTGTGGCTTTTATCTTTTCTCTCATTTTGTCTCTCTGAGTTCTACTTTCAGAGATATTTCTTCATCTGCATCTTCCAACTCTATTAATTACTTCTGAATTTTAAATATTTTTAAAACCTCTACTGTTCTGATAACTTCTGTTTCATTTCCTGTTGTTTTCTAAATGCACTATCTCCAAAAGTCTTTTTAACCAGCTTTTTCCACTTACAACATAGTCAGCATTGTCTCATATCCTAAATATCTTGAAAACATGGCTTTTCACTTTTATATGGTGCTCCATCAAAAGATCAAGATGTACCAAAGATTTTAACAGCACGAGACATTATCAAATCCGTGTTTTTGATGTTCAGCCTTGAACGAGTGGGAAGAATGAACTGGAGCAGATTAGAGACAGGGTGTGTAATCTAGGTGAGGAATGATGCAAGTCTCATCTAAGGCAGTCATGGTGGGTAGAGGCAAAAGGACAGCTGGCAGATCTCAGGAGGGGGAACGGCATAGGACTTGGTGATTGACTGATTAGAAGAAAAGAGAAACGTCCAGAATTACCCTTAGGTTTATGGTTTGGACAACACCAAGAATAGCTGAATTTCTCCAATTAAGAATTATATATTTTGGGGGCTGGCCTGGTGGTGCAAGTGGTTAAGTGCGTGCGCTCCGCTGCGGCGGCCAGGGGTCTACCGGTTTGGATCCCGGGCGCGCAGTGATGCACCGCTTGTCAGGCCATGCTGTGGCAGTGTCCCATATAAAGTGGAGGAGGATGGGCATGGACGTTAGCCCAGGGCCAGTCTTCCTCAGCAGAAAGAGGAGTATTGGCAGATGTTAGCTCAGGGCGGATCTTCCTCACAAAAAAAAAGAATTATATATTTTAAATACGTCTAACAGTGACTTACCTATTGTTCAGTCTCAAGTGAGTTAGGCTAGATCACAGCTTCAATGTAAGTTGCATTGTTCTACAGAAAAATAAAAATTTCCCACAGTGTTACAGGCTCAGAGATAAGTCCTTATTAACATTTAAAGAGAAACAGAAAAGGTTCTAAAGTAACATTTGTGTTTTTCATGACAATATTTGTAATTCCAAAGATAAAAATAATTTTGCAAATATTTTTATCTATAAAAAGATATTTTATTTTTAATTAAGCATAATAAAAGATACCAAGCATTTAGAGAGATTAATTTTTAATTAAGATTCTTTGGAGAAATATTTAACAGGAAGGATGAAAAAATCAGCAGTAAACAAAAATTCAAATTTAAAATTATGAACGAAACACTATGGAAGAAAATTTTGTCACAAAATATTAGGGTATTTTGAAATAAAAATAGTCATTCTGCTATTATAAATACTTTCATTTTGTGTATTTGCTTTGAGTCTCAAAACGAATTTTGCAAGAAAATTTCCTTTTCATCAGTGAAACACCTGTTTACTATTTAACCAGCAACATTCAAGTATAGATGCAAATATTTACTAAATATATTTTTCTTAAATAGATGCAAATCACTTTATTTCTAAAAAAGTTTAATTCTATTTAGACTCATTAGAATATTTATATTTAAATACTCCAATGTAATCTATGAGTATTAAGCAAGAAGGAGCTCTTCAAATGAAAAAAAGTCTGATTTGGTTTTACAAATAATGAAGATGATTTAAAATGTAAAAAATTGAGCTTAAAAAAACACAGCTCCAACCACCTGTTTTTTTAAGTCACACGAGCCATCTACTTCTAAAAAGTCCTTATCAAAGCTATTTCTTTAAACCCAACATTTACTAGCTCAACAGATGGGCTGTAAAAATGAGGAATGTAATTTTACTTTCAACTCACTGATTATATACTCAACTGATGGCTTTAAAAAAAAATAATTTTAGAATACATGAAGACCCAAATTAAACCATTCTCAACATTTTTCCAGGACTGTGTGCTAACTGGCTTGTTTTTACATATGAACTTAAACATGTCTACCACAGGTAATACACAAAAGTAATTACTTGCAACTATAAAACCTACCAAGTAAACTCCCAATGTAATATCACTGCTTTTTCCTTCTCTTATAAGAATCATTACTGTGAACTCGAACTCGCTGGTACACAGAGGAAGCTATTTTCATGCTGTCTTTCTTTGTGAATGTCTTCTCTATTGCTCCAGGTTTCCAAAGTAATAACTGTGCATCTTCTCCTCCAGTTAGCAAGGAATCATCCTGCGTATTCCAACAGAAAGAACGGACTGTAGCAGCATGCCCTCCCTGAAGGCTGGTCACATGGATCAATCCTGATGTAGTACAGCTCATTAAGTGAATAATTCCTGTGTTTGTTCCTCCAACGGCAAACAATTTGTCCATCTTTTCATGATACAGGCCACCAATCAAATAGTCCAAATTACCTTCTTTCATGTTAATTACTTCTCTGACATCCTGGATGTTCAAACGTGTAATTGGTTCATCAGTATCAAGATGATTAAGATCCCACCAACAAAATCCTTCATCATGTGTCATGCAGTAAATCTGTTTATAATCTTTCCCAGACCAACCAATGTAGCTTACTGATGAAACTGAGTTACAGGTTGTAACCAGTGCATCTTCTTCATTATCAACACTAATATCAAATACATTTACCAGACCATCAGTTGAACCTGAGACTACCATGTTGGGATTGCTGGGATGGAAACATACTTGAGTGACATCATCACTATGTGTCTCTGAATATGCACCAAGTGGGTCTTTGGTAGTAGACAAATCCTGAGAATTAATTCTTGCATCCCAAAATACCAACAAGGCATCATCATCAACTTTTTCTGTACCAGCACAAATGACATGATCATTACAACTGATATCAAAACTAATAAAAATATTGGAAGGGTAACCCTTAAACAGCTGGACAGGTTTTTCACTGGCTACTCGAGCATCCCAACATTTTACAGTGCCATCAGTACATGATGAATATACACTGTCACAAGAATTTGCAAATTTGACTCCATTAAGAAGTCCAGGATTTCCACTAAATTCTCGAAGTATGTTTAACCTTTCTTTATCATATATTCTGATTGATCCATTAGAACATAAAACAGCAAGCAAGCTTCCTTTTTCTGTTTGTGCAGTCTTTGATGTGTCTATGCCAAGCAGATAAGTAGGCTCTTTAGTTCCTGAGGAACGTCTAACAATGTTCAGATTAGTAAATTGTTCTTCAATCTTCTCCATATCAGGAGTGGCATCCAAGGTAGTAAAAATCTATAATAAAAATACAAAAATTAAAATTAGGGCCGGCCCCGTGGCTTGGCGGTTAAGTGCGCGCACTGTGCTGCCGGCGGCCCAGGTTCGGATCCCGGGTGCGCACTGACGCACCGCTCCTCTGGCCATGCTGGGGCCGCGTCCCACATACAGCAACTAGAAGGATCTGCAGCTATGACAGACAACTATCTGCTGGGGCTTTGGGGGAAAAATAAATAAATAAAAAAAAATCTTTAAAATTAAACCCAAAGCGTCTCTAAAATTGTAATTAAACCATGAACATTTCCCTCTGAGGGCTGGCACAAAACAACAGAAATAAAATCTATTTTAATATTTTAATCATTTCCCTGCCATGATATAACAAAAACTCAGTTGCCTCCTTCTCACTCAATCACTCTTGAATACCAAATCTACCATATATACTTTATGCTAGTAAGAGAATGTAAATACATGTACATACATTGCTCATGAATTCCTTTTAGCTCAAACCCAATTATTGGTCCTACTCATCCTACTCATAGTCCTCACCATTAGCCAGGGTCTCCAATTTGGAATCCTCTTCTCCTGGACCCAGCTGCCTTATATAACTTTAGAATCTAAACATAAATGTGTAGGCAGAAAAACAGTCCCCTAAAGATGTCCATGCCTTAATCCCTGGAATCTGTGACTATGTTAGGTTACATGGCAAAGAGGAATTGAAGTTGCAGATAGAATTAAGGTTGCTAATCAGTTGACCTTAAAATAGGGAGATTATTCTGGATTATCTAGGTGGGCCCAATGTAATCACTAGTGTCCTTAAAAGCAGAAGAAGGCAAGGTGAAAGACCTAGCCAATGAAAACTATAAGACGTTATCGAAAGAAATCGATGATGACATAAAGAAATGGAATGATATTCCATGCACATGGATTGGAAGAATAAACATAGTTAAAATGTCCATACTACCTAAAGCAATCTACAGATTCAATGCAATCCCAATCAGAATCCCAATGACATTCTTCACGGAAATAGAACAAAGAATCCTAAAATTCATATGGTACAACAAAAGACCCCGAATAGCTAAAGCAATCCTGAGAAAAAAGAACAAGCTAGAGGCATCACAATCCCTGACTTCAAAATATACTACAAACTATAATAATCAAAACAGCATGGTACTGGTACAAAAACAGACACACAGATCAATGGAACAGAACTGAAAGCCCAGAAATAAACCCACACATCTACGGACAACTAATCTTTGACAAAGGAGCCAAGAACATACAACGGAGAAAGGAAAGTCTCTTCAATAAATGGTGTTGGGAAAACCGGACAGCCACACGCAAAAGAATGAAAGTAGACCATTATTTTTCGCCATACACAAAGTTAACTCAAAATGGATTAAAACTTGAAGGTAAGACGTGAAACCATAAAGCTCCTAGAAGAGAATATAGGCAGTACACTCTTTGACATCGGTCTTAGCATCTTTTCGAATACCATTTCTACTTAGGCAAAGGAAAAAAGAAAAAATAAACAAATGGGACTTCATGAAACTAAAGAGCTTCTGCAAGGCAAAGGAAACCAGGAAAAAAATGAAAAAACAACCCACCAACTGGGAGAAAATATTTAGTTATATATCTGACAAGGGGTTAAACTCCAAAAAATATAAAGAACTCATGCAACTCAACAACAAAAAAGCAAACAACCCAATCCAAAAAATGGGCAGAGGATATGAACAGACATTTTTCCAAAGAAGATATACAGATGGCCAACAGGCACATGAAAAGATGCTCAACATCACTAATCATTAGGGAAATGCAAATCAAAACTACAGTGAGATATCACTTTACACCTGTTAGAATGGCTATAATCACCAAGACAAAAAATAACAAATGTTGGAGAGGATGTGGAGAAAAGGGAACCCTCATACACTGCTGGTGGGAATGCAAACTGGTGCAGCCACTATGGAAAACAGCATGGACTTTTCTCAAAAAATTAAAAATAGAGGGGGCCGGCCCGGTGGCGCAAGCGGTTAGGTGCGCGCACTCCGCTGCAGCAGCCCGGGGTTCGCTGGTTCGGATCCCGGGCGCGCACCGACGCACTGCTTGGCAGGCCATGCTGTGGCGGCGTCCCATATAAAGTGGAGGAAGATGGGCACAGATGTTAGCCCAGGGCCGTCTTCCTCAGCAAAAAAAGAGGAGGATTGGCGGATGTTAGCACAGGGCTGATCTCCTCACAAAAAAAAATAAAAAAAAAATTAAAAATAGAAATACCATACAACCCAGCTATCCCACTACTGGGTATTTATCCAAAGAACCTGAAATCAACAATTCAAAGAGACTTACATTCATTGCAGCATTATTCACAATAGCCAAGATGTGGAAGCAACCCAAGTGCCCAGTGACTGATGAATAGATAAAGAAATTGTATATATACATACAATGGAATACTACTCAGCCATAAAAAAGACAAAATCATCCCATTTGTAACAACATGGATGGACCTTGAGGGTATTATGTTAAGTGAATTTAGCCAGACAGAGAAAGACAAATACCGCATGATTTCACTCATATGTGGAAGATAAAACAAACACATGGACAAAGAGAACAGATTAGTGGTTACCAGAAGAGAAGGGAGTTGGGGGTGGGCATAAGGGGTAAAGGGGCATATATATATATGGTAACTGATAAATAATAATGTACAAACGAAATTTCACGTTATAAACCATTATGACCTCAATAAAATAATTTTTAAAAAAAGTAGAAGGCAGAAGATAAGAGTCAGAGGGAGATATTACTATGGAAAAAAGGCAGAGAGAGATACATTGCTGGTTTGGGTGAAGGAGGTCAATAAGTGAGTGCCTCTAGAAACTGGAAAAGGCAAGGAAACATTCTCCTTCAGAGCCTCCAGACAGAAATGCAGCCCTGCTAACACCCTGATTTTAGCCCAGTGAGACCCATTTTAGACTTGTGACCTTCAGAACTATAAGATAATAAATTTGTGTTGTTTCAAGCCAAGTTTGTAGTAATTTGTTACAACAGCAATAGGAAACTAATGCAATAGAGGTTCCCAGTATGGAATCTAGAGAAGTGCTTCTCTAGGCATTCTGGCTTCAGGGACCGTGCTCTTCACCACCACACTAGATTGCCTCTCAATGGTAGGTAGGTTGTATGCAGAACAAGTTCAAGGCCAGAGAAATATGCATGCCTGGTGACTGTATCACAAATTTTTCTATTTTGCTTTCACCAATGAATATTCTAGCCTGCCTTACAAATTCACATTTTCATTCTTAAGACAAAATGCTTTTTTTCTGTTGCTTTAGTGATAGCTTTTTAAGCATCTGTCTTTTCATTTTTAAAAGGAGAAATGAGTACTAACTCAAGAGTTGTTAGAAGGATTAACTGAAATAATGTGTTCAGCACAATGTTTGGCATATAACATATATTCAACAGATGTTACGTAAAAATTACCAGTATTACCACTACCAATATCACTAACACCACAGAGGGGAGAATTTGGATACATCAAAGTGGCTCCAAACAGCACAATTCAGCCAGTGGGCAAAAAATATTAAAAAGTTGGATTTGGATTCAAAACAGGAATAAGTATCCTCTCCAACTTTCAATTTTGAATATTCAAAAACTTAAAAAAAAGTTGAAAGAATAGTATCAATGAACACACACACACACTGCCTTTCACCTCCTAGGTCCACTGTTAACTTATTTGCTTTCTCTCTCTCTCTATAAACACACATACACACACATTATCTTTTGATGAACTATTTGAAAAATGCAGATACAATATCACTTTTTTATTCCTAAATACTTTGGCATAGAGCACCTGCCCAGTCTTTTGTTTTCATGACACTGAATTTTTCAAAAAGTCCAAGCCAGTTGTGTCATAAAATGTCTCATATTCTGGATTTTTCTAATTGTTTCCTTATGATTAGATTCCAGTTTCACATTTTTCACAGGGATACTATTTAGGTGATACTGGGTACTTCTTTTTTTTTTTTTTTTTTTTTAAAGATTTTATTTATTCATTTTTTTCCCCCCAAAGCCCCAGTAGATAGTTGTATGTCATAGGTTCACATCCTTCTAGTTGCTGTACGTGGGACTCGGCCTCGCGTTGGACGGAGAAGTGGTGCCTTGGGGCGCGCCCGGGATCTGAACCCGGGCCGCCAGCATCAGAGCACGCCCACTTAACCACTAAGCCACGGAGCCGGCCCCAATACTGGGTACTTCTTACTGCATCACATCAAGGAGGCACATAACACCACATTTGATTACTTGCTTAAGGCAGTGACTGCCAGATCTCTCCATTTTAAAGGTACTTTCCTCCCTTTGTAGTTAATAAGTAATCATGAGGTGATAACATTAGACTGTATGAATATCTTACTCTCCAACAACCTTTCATCTAAAGATTTTAGCATCCATGGATTATCCGTGCCTAAATCAATGATTATACTGGGATTTGCAAAACAGTCATTTTCTACCTTAACTAGCATTCTTCTATAAAGAAGAGCTTTTTCCTTTCTCTCTCTTTGAGTATAACTAAGAAATTATGATTTTAAAAAATTGTGTGTTATAATCCATCACTTTGTAGTTCTTGTTGGTGCTCAAATGCCCTGACTTGGTCATTGAGAAACCCTTCAAGCCAGCTTCTGTGTCCTTTTGATCTGACCCCATTTAGTCAGTAAGCTCTACATGGAAAATATCTGTATAAGAATAAGATAAATCTGAAAATGGTGCATTTCCTTCAACATAGTTTTCAGAGACTAAACGACCACTTACCAGTTATGCTGTGGTAGTTACCTCCACAGCACAACTGTTGGTTTTCCAACCAGATAGGCAAAATGGCCTTCTTTCCTTGAACATGTCATGCTTGCTTCTGCCTCAGGACCGGAGCAAGTTATTTCTCTGCCTATCCCCTTCCCTACATTTTTTTTCGTGAGTAACTCCTTCCTGGGTCTCAGTGTGTCACTTCCCCAGAGACACTCCCTGATCAACCAACCTAAGGTAGCCCCTGTCACTCCCTATTATATTG